ATTGGGTGACGATCTACCCCTGATTTTCGGTTGAGCTCGCGATAGTCGACGCACAATCGTAGACTTTGATCCTTTTTTCGAACGCACACTACAGGGGAACTGTATCACGAATTTGATCTCCGAATAAACTTCCTGTTTAACATATCTTCGATATAAGCTTTCACCTCGGGATACAATGGTCGAGGGACAGCAACATAGTTCTTTTGAACTGGGGTTTTGTCGTTCAGGTGGATGTTCAGTTCAAGGTTTGGTATACTTCCTACGTCATCGTCACTCTGGGCGAAAGCATCAGCTTGCTCGATGAGTAGTTGTTCAGCAACTTTCTTTTGTTCATTGGTGAGTCGACTTAGGTCGATTTCTTTAAGGTGAGCAGGCAGATGGTTAGATGTGCAACCTCGAATTTTGTCCTCTGAGACGTCATCAGTTGACTTCGTACTTGGAGGAATTCGGGACTTTGGGTCAGCGGCTTTCAGTTTCACTTCTACAGGGGCAACTGACTGAACTAATTGCAAGCGACCGAGAACTGTCCGACCTTTTAGACTTATATCATGTTTTGTAGTGTTCCTTATTTCTACTTCGATCTTGCTCGCCTTACCCGCTTTAACTGTTAATAAATTATCGGAAACTTGTAGGCCTCCCGGCCAGTGACCATTCTCATCTGCTTCAAATAGGACTGGCCTGGTGTCAGTTGGCTCAGGGGTCCAGTGTTCACTCTACAACGTATTTGTGCTACTTGCCCTCGAGGTATAACAGTGTCCTTTTTGGGAGTTTTCACAAGGCATAGTTCGCCATGATTTATCTCTTTCACCAAGTCCAGCAACGTCACTGCGTTGTGGGTGTTTATCCCGACAAAACTGCCGGTTAGGATATCGTTCTCCTGAAGTGTTCCCGAGTTGATCATGTGTTCTATAACATTAAAACCTACTAAAGGTAGTTCTAAGTTTTCTCGGGTTACCAAAAAGGGGACAGAAACTTCATTTGCAGAATCTTGGACTTGAAACTTTAATTCAACCCATCCCACGTACGGTATCTTACTACCATTAGCTGCTGTCAGTGTTAGGCCACATTCTAGTAGTTCACTAACATCTCGAATCGGAATGTTTGGAAAGGTTTTGCTAACAAAGTTTTCGGAAACGATCGATACCTGGGCACCCGTGTCCCATAAAACTTCTGACGTTTTACCGTTAAGTTTCCCTCTAACTGAACACTTTCTACCGCGACTAAATTAATTATTTTCCCATGCTCTTTTGGTGGCAAATGGCTGATATAAATGTGCGAGTCATCGTGTTGCATTGTTTCATTTTCCCTATGACCACACTTTTCGTTTTGAATAGCGTCACACAATGTCTTGTGCGCAGTCCAATTTGTTCTTTGACATTCACGGTTACAATAATATACAAGTTTACAGTTTTTGCATCGAAAAATAGTTTGTCCTAGGTATTTGCTACAGTTATTGCATTGACGGGACAACTTACTATCTCCGGCTACTCCCTGTCCCGACCGTGGGATAGCCGTCTCTCGTTTCCCGAATTGTCCGCCATGTTTTTGTTGCATTCGGATGCAATGTGGCGATATTTTCCACACGCGAAACAGTGTGAGCACGTTGCGCCGAGTCTCTTCTCTTTGCACGCTTGACACCCCCTACCACGGTATCGTGGTGACTTGGTACGACTTTGGTCTGGTAATACTCGACTACCTCCTGCTTGGCGCTGTTTCGAGCTCAGATCGTATTTCAGCGAGTATTTGTTTGTTTCCCTCCTCGAATTTCTGTTGTTTTGGCTCCGATTCTTCGACGTCACACGCGTTAATTCTGGCACGTCGCTCACAGGCAAGCTTATTTTGCCTTTCCGCTTGATGACAGGCAAGTTCATTTACGTGTTTCATTAAATCCTCGTCTGTCAGTTCGGGTAAACGCAGCGTGGCCGTAAATTAGCAGCAAGAATATCATCGCGTAGTCCAGTCTCAAAAGACTTCATGAAGGTCTTTTGGATAAGCGGTTCATCGTAATGAACTTCGCACTCTGATTCCTTGCTAGCGAAACCGACTTTGTTCCGCAAATCGAGCGCGCGAAGGAGAAACTGTTGTGCAGTTTCTTTTGGTTGCTGAAAGATGGTTGCAAGCTGTTGGTAAAGTTCCGACGCGGACCTTTCCCGGTAGTGTACGCGAAGAATCTTGCGGAGTTTAGGCAGGGATAAATCATACAATGTTTCCACGTAGCTTCTCAAACTGCTATGTAATGAAATAGCCCTAATAACAGCGTCTACGATCTCGTTTTCTTTATATTGTCGCTTAAGACCAGAGTCAATTTGGTGAGTGAGTGAGACGAACGTAAGTTTGTCAGTTTGACCCGGTTCGCCAATTTGACCCACGATTTTAAAGTGCTTATGAAACGAAATTTTCACCTCATTTTTTATTGTTTTGCTAAAAAGTACTGCTAGAGCGATGAAGAATGACGTTTACAGTTTCTTCATATCTCATTCTCAAGTTATCGCACTTTCTAAATTTCAAGTTGTGACGTCACTAGTTTGACTTGAGATAATGGCAATAACAAGAAAGTCTAATATCTTAGTGAGTATTTAATAAAATTCAATGAAACTCGGTACACTTAGTGGGTGCACCCATATGAATACTTTTGGATGGTCATGTGGTTGTCATGGCAACACACTAGTGCCCAATCTCTTCTCTTCCTTTTCACAAATTTCCTCCCGTAGACCTCTTGCAGAGGATGTTTGCATAGTAACGGTTTAAACTGGTCACAATACCGATACGTATGATAGTAATAAGCGACAATTGCAGAAATTACCATTTATTTCGTTGGAAATGGATCATATAGAAATTGGAAGAGAAGGGACTGGGGACGAGTGTGTTGCCATAACAACCATATAAACAAGCCAAATTGTTCACTTCGTTGCACCCACTAAGTGTGCCAAGTTTCATTAAATTTTATTATATGATCATCAAGATATCAGATTTTCTTGTTATTGCCACTATTTTGAGTCAAACTAGTGACGTCACAACTCAAAATATAGAAAGTGCGATAACTTGGGAATGAGATGAGATACGAACAAAATGTAAACGTCATTCTTCATCATTTAAGCAGTACCTTTTAATAAGACAATAAAAGATGAGGCAAAAATTTCGTTTCATAAGCACTTTAAAAATTGCCCATGGCCTCAATTTCAAATATCACTAAATTAAAAGAAAAAACTTTTTGGCGTTTGTAGGTATCAAACATATCGTCAGGAAAAATAGGGGCTCACAATGTTTTAGCTAACTCTTTGAGACCCAGTTGCTTCGCACGTGTTGTGGTCAAATTTTTGCCAAGAATCAAAGGCCGAAAGGCGAACTTCCTTCATGGCTTTTGGCTAACTTGAAACATTAATATGCATCATTAATATGTAGAAACGCGCAATAGGCGTACTAACAGGCCTAGGGACTACAGGTGGCCCCCGTCGACTAAAAATGTCGTTTGGCGCGAAGAAATTCGCTAGTGGAAAACTAGACTTGCCGCAAGTCTCTCTTTCATTGTCATATAGTATCGATCCACTATAGTGTACATTACATGACGTAGCACGGAGAGGCGGAGCGAGAAAGAGAGACAACTTCAGAAAATCTCGGTTCAAAACTGAACCGAAAATGCAAGACTTGCTTTAATTGTTTTCTGTCAGTGTTTATATGTATTGATCTAGCACAGTGTAAATAACATGAGTTTTGTGCGGCCCACTATAAACAGCCAATAGATTAACCATTCGAGCATTCTTCAATCGAGATTAATTTTTACTGTGGTAAATAGTTTTTATGTACGTCTGTATTTGTGTTGTCTTGGTGGGACTTAATTGGGAACTGCTGTTCCGTTGTCCTGACCTTCGATCTTATTGATTGTCAAGTTATTAAAAAAAGTCAGCCGCTCCTTGCGTTATCAACAATATAGTATTGTAAGTTATTGGGTTGTAACCCTAACCCCCACCCTAACCTCTAACCCCCACCCCCTAACCCCACCCTCTAACCCCCCTAACCCTAAAGCCAACTTGGAACAAACATGGTTGACAACATTGTTCACGCCTGTCGATATCAACTTGGAGCAACCTGTACGTTTTTAGCCGTGTAGTAAATAATACAGAAAGAAATTGAAGGAAAACAATTAAAGCAAGTCTTGCATTTTCGGTTCAGTTTTGAACCGAGATTTTCCGAAGTTGCCAAGTCTCTCCTTCTCGCTCCGCCCCTCCGTATTACGTCATGTAATGTACACTATAGTGGATCGATACTACATGACAATGAAAGAAAGACTTGGAGCAAGTCTAGTGGAAAACCAGCTTAAACGGCCCGGCTTGTGAGGTGGAATGAAATTCTTCTAAGTAAGGCCTGTTTTATACGTCGAATTTCGGTCGCGTCGAATGCAATTAAAATAGATGTGGTGATAAAAATCATTAAGCTTCATTATCTATTGTTTGAATTGCATTCGAACCGACTGAAATTCGACGTATAAAACAGGCCTTATCGTCAATTGTAAAATTGTTTTTCATCAAGAACCCTTAAATATACTGTAATAAACTATTGTTATGAAGCGGCTCTAAAGAGAGCCTCTCAACATGTTCATGAGCAGTAAAAGAAACATCAAAATGTTTTTGATATTCGTTGTTTGCTCTTTCGCTCGTTGTTTGCTCTTGCCTGCAACCTCGTACCCAGGCTCTTACCTTCGCTCGCCCTCCCGCCGGTAAGAAGTATAACACCAACTGATGTAATAGTTCAAATGTAATGATAAGTTATCTCTTGAATTACATCTCAGAAACTGTGTTGGAAATTTAAATGCATTTTTCCAAATGGCGTCAAACAGTCTCAGTGTAAATATAATGTCTGACAAAGAATTAGCACAGAAAAGACAAGATTTGCCGCGAAACAAAGTCATATCCTTTTGGAGCTGTGGTAGTCAATGAGCGCCAATCGGAAGTTGTATATCTTTGGAGCGCACCATCATATCTTTGGAGCGCACATCCCTAATAACTGTAGAAATCTATCAGGCAATAGACCTTTGACATCACAAGGCTTGATGCCCGCGAGGAATGCTGGTCTTAGTATAGTCATCGCTCGGGAAAATTAAACAATTCAAAATGGCCACAATCGAAACATTCCTGGGCGATAACTACTAAGACCAGCATTCCTCGCGGGCATCAAGCCTTATGACGTTATTATGCATAAGGTCTACTGGCCATGCAATTACGCTCAAATCTTCAGGGACAACACATGAGGAAGACATTCATTTGTTTTATGCGGCTAATTGTCCCCTGGCGATCCCATAACACATTGTGTAATGTGCAAATGCAATGCATTATGGGATCGCCAGGGGACAATAATCCGCACAAAAGATCGGAAGGGGGCCTGCGAACCGGCAACTCATCCATCGTTCTAACTCTTTAACGGGCCCGCAAACGTGTATTTGATGCAAAGTGAGCCACGTAAATTTTTGAAATTCTACGAAAATCGTCGAGCATAGTATTGTATGTGTGTTGCTGTGCTTCCATGGTATGTCGTGTACACTGAAGACATACAGTAGGAGAAGACACGAATTTGCGACGTTGCCGACGCGATGTTAATACGAATTCCCTATGAACCACGGAATAGGGTTGCGAACTTCGGTAAGGGCAGGAATGCGTTTTTACCACGTGACAGTTGTTCTACGTACATTGGTAAATTGTAAAGAAATTGTATACAATTGAACGCTAACAGCAGACAAACTGACATTATATAACAGCAGACTGCTCTCCACAAACTTCGAATCGCATGGTAAGTTCTATGTTCTACAAGTTTTCGACAGCTAAGTAGCTAATGGACCTTTCCCCTTATAACAAAAATTTCGATCTAGACAAAAATTTCATCACAGCTTGAAAGAGCATCACAAAATTAGTAATATTCCAAAATTTCGATGCGAAATGTTGTAAAATGCGGATAATATTGCCTTGCGAAGTTTGCCGTTTTTCAGTCATTTTGTATTACGCACGGGAAATTGACATCCGATTCGGGTGTTGGGGCATCAATTTCCCGTTTGTAATACAAAATGACTGAAAATTGCAAATTTCGCAAGGCTATATTATCCGCATTTTACAACATGTCGCAACGAAACTTTGGAATATTACTAATTTTGTGATGCTCTTTCAAGCTGTGATGAAATTTTTGTCTAGATCAAAATTTAGTCTATAATGCAAATGGTCCATTTTATGCACAAATTGTCCTAACTTCGAACAGCTAACAGTTGACCTCAAATACGATTTGAACTTTGCCGTTTGTGGTTAGCGGTCTGCCGTAAAGCCCAATCTTAAGGTCTCTAAAGTGGGAAAGCGTTGAACGCAAAACTTGGAATTGTTCACATGTTATTACAGTGTTAATTGTAAATGGTTCTATACAGTACTGTAGATTTGAGAAAATATGAAATACCATCCATCACATAAAGTTTCACAGCGGAAGCCGTTTTACAAACGATGCTGTATCGGTATGTGTATATTTTTAGATTGTACCAAGTCGGACTGACGATTAAACCATAGAGTTCGACGGATCCCCAGCGATTCTGTTAACCACCTAAAAATACAAATTGAATATCGTAGTACAACCTTACAGTATTACAGGAAATGAATCATGCACTAAATTACCGCGACATCTTAATTAACGCGGATTTCTTTAATACAGTCAAACCTCTATTAAGCGGCCACCCTCGGGGATCGGCTTTGTGGTCGCTTAATAGAGGTGGCCGCTAAATAGAGGTACGCAAATAATAGACCCTGGGCGTAGTCAATGCTTTTGAGGTGTAAAGCTTTTGAGGTGTAAAGTGGCATGTGTTAAAACATAATTTTTAACATCTTTATTTTACAAATAAAGCAAACTAGCTCGACTTTTATTTTCGGCTGTCTTGACAAGGTGTTGCGCCAAGTAAATCCTGCAGGCTGGCTGCTTAATAGAGGTAAAAATTGACGTAAAACATCATTTGGGACCGCTCTTTGGGCGGCCGCGGCCGCTTAATAGAGGTGGCCGTTTAATAGAGGGATAGTTTATAGTATTTGTATTACAAAAATTTCGGGAATTCGATATGTGGCCGTTTAATAGAGGGCGGCCGCTTAATGGAGGGCCGCTTAATAGAGGTTCGACTGTAACTGCAAATTATAGTAATTCGATTGTATATGTACACGGTATA